CTATGGATATTGTGTGACACTAATTTGGCTTTGGGTTTGCAGGCAATAAAACAGAATAGGTTACAAAACTTGATAGGCTCAGGCTCTACTCTACTGTTTTCGGCGTAGTTGGGCTGATACGGATAACAGTGGACCCCACCAAGATTCTCCAATTTATCTTTCTGTAGGCCCCACCCGTCTGATGCAACTCCATTGTATGATTGCCTACGCCTTCACCTACAATTGCATCACCTTGATGGAGTTGCATCAGACGGCTGAGATTTGTTCGGTTTGGTGGGGCCTGATTAATGTACCTTATCATTTTATTATCCTTTTGAGTTTTTTTAATTAGTCCGATGACACGTGGACTTAGGTTCGAAATTCTGACTTTTTTATCCATGATATATATCTAGACCAATCAAGCTATAGACGAATGTAATGTTTTTGAATTCATTGTCAAGATGGAAACTAATAAAGCTTCTTCAAAACTTCTCCTTTAATTCATTTGCTTTTACCAATCGGTAAATCCGAGCATATTATCTTCCTAGATTGAAGTTTCATTCTCCTACTTTCATATTTCCTTAACTATATATATATACATAGCTTTTGTACTCCTTGATATTTTGAAAGCATTATTGTAATCTATACATAGTTTAGTAGTTATGACATTGTACTTCTTTTAAGTAGTCCTAGGTTAAAAATATAAAAAAATAATAATAAAGAAAGAGGACGAAGAGGCATCATTACACAAATTATTTTTCCTATACCAAATAAAATTGATAAACTAAAATAGAATGAGAGCCAAAATATAAAAGTTGTATCTTCGTACCTTTCATACATATATATATATATATATATATATTGAGTTTAACACGTGGATGTGAGATTCAAATTCACGCTATTTTAGTCAAAGATGGGTGTCTTAACCAGTTGAGCAATATTCCGTCACTTAATTATTTAGTAGGTTAAATTTAATATAATTTTTTTCATAATCCCGAGTTTAAATAAGTAACACATTAATACTCTCGAGTAATTGATTTCTTTTCCTTCATAAAAAATGGACACGTGGCTCGTTATGGCCTTCTTGTTGTTGCAGGGGTAATGGTTAATTTGATTGTATCGTTAGATGTGTTTGATGAGGTATTAACTTCACTCCTAATTTAAGGTTTAGTTTAAAAAATTTAAAACTAAAAATAAAATTGACTATCTTGGAAAATCAAATTATTCAAAAGAAAAATAAGAAAGATTGTGGGGGTGAAGTTCATTGAATGCGTTAGGATTTGAGAGTCACGTGAGTGACAGTTTTAAGTTAACAATGTTTGGTTGCGTGGCGGCGGTGGATTTTTCTTCACATGCAATGGATGGAGGATGGAAGGAGAAGCCAATAGATTTCCCAACTCATTTCTTTGGATTTATGAATATACTTACAAAAGCCATCATTTTTTTAAGAGACGCTACAATTATACATACAAATTAGATATTCCAACTATGAATCTTAAAAAAAAAAAAGTAAAAATATCTTTTTAACTGTTATTGAGTTAGATGGATATAGTTGAATTTACTATAATCGAAGGTATAAGAGTTGAAATAACCACTTAACTTACGCTTTAAGATTGACATAGTTGGTTTTACCGGCACTAACTTAAGGTATAAGTGGTAATTAATGTAAATTTGATATGAACATAGTTCTACTAGTTCAAACATATATTATGAATTAAAATATTAGAAGTTCAAATCCTCACCTTACATAGTGTTGAATTAGAAAAAAAATACTTTTATCGATATTTTAAAGCAATAACCAACTTTATTTTTTTATTTTTTTAAAATAAAATCGAGACAATAATAAAAATAATAAAAGAAAATTGAATTCTAGACCTGGAACAAAATATATACTTTTTAGGATAAAATACACTTTTAAATCCTTGAGTATGACGTTGGTGTCTATTCGGTCTATGAAATTTAAAAATGGACAATTTAATCTTTTCAGATTTGAAAAATGATTTTAAATGGTCCCAAAATTAATTTGATTATTAGAGGTCCACTTGTTAATGTTTCCATTTATTGTTTCTCATAATCCAATTTTATTAAGAAATCTAAGTATTTGACAACTATTTATATTTCTTGTTTCTCATTTATTAGAAACATTCTTCAAATTGTACAGAAATTTTGAAAATAACAAAAACAAGTTTCTTGCTTCTTCTTCTCATTTCTAAAATAATATTATTTTATCGTTCTTTGTGAAAAAAAAAAAAGAAGAAAATAGAAATATGTATGTATTTTAAATGAAAATAATAAATGAATAGAAATCTCAAGTGGTCCAATCAAACTTATTTTTTACTTTTTCTGTCCACCCTTCATATATATATATATATTAGATGACAATCCCATTCCTAGTTTTCTGCCTCTTGTTTTATTTTTTTTATTTTTATTTTGTGATTATTTTTATTCCTTACCCTCTAGTTTTTTTAATTAAAAAAAGGAAAAAAGAAATGATTGGTAGTTAATTTCTTTTTTCGATTCTTTAAAATAATACTTCACTTGAAATGACAAGTTAAATTTTATAAAATTGAATGTTGAATGTGTTATTCGTCAATTTTTAAAGAATTCAATAATATGTGTATTTGGAAACATAAATTATATGATCGGAAGGTACCAAAGTTTTTTCTTTCAATTTGCATATAATCTTAAATTTCATTGTGGCACCCTCAAATTATCTAGGATGATCAGCTACTTTTACCCCTCCATTTAAAAACAACTATTTATAGTAAACAAATCCTAAGGGCCGCGTTTTTACAACCGATGCCTAGGGACCATGTCTTTTGGTTGCATTTTGTTTTAGTCCCGTCCTTTCTGGTCTAACCCCACTTTCAATGTCTTTTCTTTCCGCTCATCTGAGCTTCAAATCAACCAATTTGATGGTTATTCCCCACAAAATTTAAAAGTCTCCTACATTCCTATCTGAGTTGAGGTAGGTGATACCACGAGATTTCTAGTTCTTGCCACTCAGCCAGGAAACGACTGCCTTCAAAACTTCTAATAGAAAGTTTCTAATATATTCTTTCTCTTGGGTCTTTCCTTTCTCTCAGGAACCAATCATCTACAACTTTATAAATTTGCATCCAATATTTATCTCGATAAGATTTAACATTGTCATTTGCATCACATGCACGATGAAATGCTTTGTGGCGACCTGCCATTAACGATGAATTTTTAGTAGATTTCCAATCTTCAATCTTCATACATCATTTGGCTTCCTTTTACAATAGCTCTTTTTGAAACTATAAGCTCTAATACCAACTCTGATAAATTGGGTGGTTTCCAATTGAGTCTAAATTTTCTTTCTATATGTAGTGTTAATACAAGTAAAATTGCAATGCAAGAAAAGACGAGATAAGAGACAGAGATTAGAGAGTATATATATCAAGATTTAGAGACATGTTCATCATTATATCTTGCGAAAATTTTGTAGATTTCACTATGAATGATGAATAATACATAGAATAACTGCTAAAGATATGTGTAGATACACACTCACCCTCTATAAATACAAAAAAGTTTTTACTTCTTTCCCTTTTATAAATAAGCTCCAACCCCTATGTGGAAGGGAAGGGAAAATTTTTTGGTATTACGAGAGTACCAATATTCCATGCCATTAAGTGCGTGCTACATCACCACTGTATTAAAAATGATGTGTGGTTCATTCTTTCTATCTACTATGAAACAAAAGGAAAAAGGGCGTATGGTACTTCCGTAGGGAGGTTTGAGCCGATAAAGAGATCAAGAAAATTGTACCTTCATCCACTGCGCCACTTGTTGATATAAGTAGCATACTTCATTTCATCGACATGCCTACCTCAATAGCTCGTATCTATATATGTAACCAGTGCCTAAGCGCTGCATCTACTTAATTTTTTTAAGTCAAGTTTAAATTCTCGTATTGTCAAATTTATTGTACTAAAAAAAGAAATGAATGTATATAACCTTTGAAAAAAAAAGATAATAATGTATATATGAACTGCATTAGAAAAGGTAAAAAAAAAATCTGTGCAGTTTGGTTACTAACAAAATTCTTTGTTGTTCTTCCAATTCTTTTTTCAGCAGTGAACTGTACAAAAAAACAAGGACCAGCGTTTTGTCCTTTCTCACTTCAATTAATAATATCTCTATAATAATATAAAATTACAAAAATATTAAAAATTAAAAATAATTGCCAGCAAATTAAATTCCCTCCGCTGCCCCTCCCCTCTAAACATTTAAAAAGCTTACGGACTCGCCTTCTTTACCGACAGGCGACAGACGCCGCCCACTCTCCGCCGTTAACTTCTCCTTCTCATCGGAACC